ATCGGCAGTTTTCGGAGGTCACCTAGATGTTTAATTAGATGACGTCTAGATTAAAATACACCTGAAATGTTGATACATATTATTAAGTCCATGCATCGAAAATTGTTTGTTGAAGACATTTTATAATTTGGATGTACGTTTTAGGATGTTATAAATCAAAAATGAGAATTTGAGTCAACGAACATAAATTTGACAGCTAATGCCAATTAGTTACAAATTATACATTAGCTGTCAAATTTATGTTCATTGACTCAAATTCTCATTTTTGATTTACAACATCCTAAAACGTACATCCAAATTATAAAATGTCTTCAAAAAACAATTTACGATGCATGGACTTAATAATATGTATCAACATTTCAGGTGTATTTTAATCTAGACGTCATCTAATTAAACATCTAGGTGACCTCCGAAAACTGCCGATGGTCATATTACCCGATATCAATATGATTATAGAAATAAATAAATAGCGAACACGGGCTAATAGAATTTTTCTAGGTCTTCTTGATTTCATATTGTAGGTTAAAAAAATTCTGTTAATCATCGGACGTTTTACCTGTATAATGATGAGCTATTATAGATCGAATTGGTTAATCAATTGGTTTGCCGTGTTTCACTTTCCTTTAAATTTTTTGTTTATCTGTAACACAAGCCAGCTAAGGGGTTAAATTGATGGTCACATGAATACGGATTTAATGAGGACGAAATATTCATGAAAAAAGGCGACCATGAATGATGACGTCACATTGAAAAAACAATTTTTGGCAGATCACGAAAGGAAAGATCGATTTTGTCTGCATATCGTTTAAAAATCATTAAAGAAACAGATTTAAACACCAAATATTGTGCAATAAAAAGTAAAATCACAAAAATACAGAACTCCGAGGAACATTCAAAACGGAAAGACACTAATCAAATGGCAAAATCAAAAGCTCCAACACATCAAACGAATGGATATCAACTGTTATGTTCCTGAAGTGATACATGCATTTTCTTATATAGAAAATGGTGGATTAAAACTGGTTTTATAGGTAGATAAACTCTCACTTGTGTGGCAGTCGCATACAATTCAATTAGCTTGACAACGATGTGTGAACAAAACAAATACGATATTTATCCACTCTCGAGCCTTGCGTTTTGAATTTGAAAATATAACTGTCTCGAGTTGATAAATATCGTATTACACCCGATGCAGTGGTGGTATCTATATTTAAAACCAAATGGTAACTATAAAACACAAGTGAAGTAACAAGGGGGGCAAGTCTAATATAAGGGGTTATCAATTAGCTACAATCCTATTGTACGTCATAATCAAAAATTTGTTATTAATCAATGTGTAAGTTTTTCTAATATTTCTTTAAGATACAATGTTGTCTTGCAACATATCATTTTTTTATTTTACTCTTAGGAGGTGTTTATTTTTCTTATTCATTATACGAAAATAAGTAATGGTATCAATACTAGTATAAACAAGGAAGTTATCAGATGTGTGTAGTTTATATTTAGCTTGGAATTCTGTGGTTTCTTATAATTTATTGTTCGAAAAAGTCAGAGATGTCTGAATAAAGTACAGTTATCTTTTGGATGTGGATATAGCATGAATTATTGTAATTAAATCTTCTTATGTTCTTCGTAAATAAATTAATAAATTATTTATAAAACTAAGCTTCTGGTGGAGTTGTTGCCACCTTCCAATCTGTAGCAGCTACTGGACTAAGCGCTGTTGCAAAGTCTACCATTGGTACCACGGTTGGTGGGATCTATAGTTATGTGGTAAGCAGCTGTTCAGAAAATGTCATTGACTGTAAAAAGAAATAAAAATGGCGTCCATTGTTTGAAATAAATTGTTCTTTTTTACTGAAACAACTTTTTAAAATGTAAAAAAAAAAGTATTTTTGTTAATGGTTCCAGAAGACATACTTCTTCGTATATACTGTACTACACATTTCAGTTGATTTTACGTTTCTAAACAAATTACCGCATTCGATGTAGTCTTGTTTAAACAGTAGTATCGGTACCACTGATTTTTAAAATACTATTATATTTTGTGTTAATAGTCTTGAATTATCCTCGATAATTGAAAATTTATATCAGTTTTTATAGTAGACCTTACATTGTATCTCAACCAAGTACAATTAACCTTTTATTCAAAAGCTTGACTATATATGTATATCATATGTTGAACTAATTATATTAAGGCAAATTTTTTGTCGGAAATGATTTTTTGTACGTTATTTTTCACTGATAAAGATATATAAAGAGGCAAATTGTTTCTAATCGTAAATTGACTACAATTTTTATTAAAGTTTTGCATCAAAATTACTCATAGTCCATTAGATTCTGAATAACATAAACGGTACACATTTTACTCAACCCGACAATTAATGTCTTTTCAGTAATTTTCGAAACAAAAATATTAGACAACCCAAAACTCCAACAAACGTTGGAGAGCTGATTCAAAGGACCAAAATTTAAGCTTAAACCCAGACAATGAATCATAGACTCATCATAGATCCCAGGCAAAAAGTTGTGCACGTCAGACTTTTTATTCTGTATTCTTTATTTTTTTATGACTGTTGTTCTCTGTTCTTTACTTTTGGACCAGTTTGACGACCAATTATTATTGATTCAACCCAATCCAACCTTCGCATATGGGTAATTTCCAATCTATGGATATTTTTAATTTGTCATTATAACATAAACATTATCAAACAGCACATACAATTATACTCACTATCTTGTATGTAAATAGAGATTAAAGTTAACCATATAAGGACAAATTAAAATGCAACGTATCACCTTTTTTCGGAACAAACTCCTTTCTTCATGTAAGTAAAGCTATGAAGCTCAGATTTACCTGATTTTGTATATATTGTAGGTAGGCAACACAAAAAAAGGTTCAAATGATACCTTAAAAGTGGTGTAAGGCTACAGTGAACACAACGTCCAGTGGTCAATTTTACTAGGTTGTTGCAGACGATACAACATTATTATCTTAATATTTTCTATAACATTTATCGCATATCACATTTTAAATCATCAAATTTTCATGAATGTAGTTAGCAGACAAGAAAGTTGGTATGCCCTTCTCTCACTGTGGTAGTCAATCGAAAGGTAACTTCTATATGATTTGGAAAATGCCGGTCTGACATGAATGTTTATTAAACGAAATATCGTGTAAGGGGATAGTATTTCCCCTATTTGGACAATGGTCAATCGTTTTTTGTATCATTTTGTGGTCGAGATAGCACATATGCTTGTGATTGTTACTCGATATCGTAAAGGTTATTTATTTTCGCCTCTTGTCGTGAAATGTCATTCATTTTCCGTAACGAGCCCATTATTTCAATATAAACAATGTCTTATTGAGAAAAACAAAACAAATAAGCACGTACAGCAATATATTTGTTTAAAAGACACACACACACACACGTATTGGAGTAATAACGAAAGAGGGCTCCTATGCTCTGGTGCATGTACTATAAATAAGAAATTGTGGTATGAGTGCCAATGACAAGTCGCAATGTATAAAAAGTTAACAATTATAGGTCAAAGAACGGCCTTCAACACGGAGCTCTGACTTACAGCAAGCTACAAAAGGCCCCAGAATGACTAGTATAAATCAATTTAAACAGGAAAAAACGGTCCAATCTATATAAAATACTAGAAACGAGAAACCCCTATGAACCGCACTAACAAACGACAACAACTGAACATCAGGTTCATGACTTGGAACAGGTGCAATGTTATATTTAACCCGATAACTTCAATTTCATGTCCAGTTCATTGAGATAGACAATATCAACAAATACATGTAGATGAGAACATTTGAAAATTCCCGATATATATTATATACTTGAACTGTGTAAGTGTGTCACATGCAGAATGTACGTCATATATTAAACTGTTGTGTAATACGAGATAACGGAGGTAAACAAATGCATAGATTATAACATAGGTTAAAACTGAACGAATAGCTTACACAGATACAGGATATATTTTTTTCATATATGTGCAATGTATTTTTTCACATTGTACCGAAAAGTAACTTGATTTGATTATTCGGGTTTGGATCTATAATAAACGACTGTCTTCATAAAAACATGACGGTTTTTCAGATCTAACACTCTGGCTAATATGAATGCCCGGGTGGCATTTCTATAAAAACCTATCTTCATTACATAAAAATCTTATCTGTAACGATTCTTGAAAGCAAGCAAGTGCTGATGGTCAGACAGACAGGCGGACGGACCGACAACTTAGTTGCTACCACATTTTTGAACCATAAAAAGTTGTATAAGAATTGTTAAAAAAAAGTCATGTTATGACCTCTGTTGCCTTTTTATCTTTAACCGGCTTTTGTTTTGTCCCATTTGTTTTTTCGTCTCTTTTTAGAATACATAACGGAACATCAACTTGGTGTGGTCTTTTGTAATAAATTGTTTATCGAGAATCTTTCATGATTCGAATGCAGTTACGCGATGGTTGTCTAAGTGTATCAAAGACTGCATATAGAGTCATAATATACAGTGACGGGTTCCCTACTGGAACAGAATATGGTTAATATCACCATACTGGAGCACATCCGCGGAAGCCCGCTAGAAAATTCTCCGCGGCTCCTCGATGAAAAACTTTTCCCCGTAAAAAAAATTTCACGATGGTATATTTTTGTTCTGCCCTGTTCGTCGAGAGACCCGCGGAGGCCCGCTAAAACCTTCTCCGCGGCTCCTCAATGAACAAATTTTCAGAATCTTTCATTATTAAAATACAATTGCGCAGTGGTTTCTAGTGCATGTATAGCAAAGAGCTTAATTTTCTTTCGGGGCATCTGAATTCACTGTCAGTTTTTGTGGAGTTTGTGTTGCCCACGGAAATTCTCTGTGGACTGTGTTGATGGTAACAAGACATTTCGGCACCCAGACAAATCGGCACCAAGTCTGAAGACATTGTGTTGATGCTTGTTGTTTTCCTCTTCTTTTTTAATATATGTTTATGTTGTTTTTTCAGTATTGAATTTAATATAAGACAAGTCTACAGAAAACCAACAATGGACCGAAGATATATAACAGTTTTTTGTGTGTTGCTTGTTCTATTAGCTACACCTGTTCAAGGTAATATAATTTAGATAAGTAAAAAGGTCATCAATTTCAAATTAAGTAGAAAGGTAATAAAATTTGTTAAGTAATCATATATCGTCATTCGGAATTATCGGAATTCCCATGGGGACTAACTGTGCACCACTTATTGCGGACCTGTTTCTGTATTGTTATGAGTTACAATTTATGACTAAAATCAGCAAAGACCCATCAAAACAACATCTGATTCAAAAATTTAATAATACTTTTAGATATTTAGATGATATATTGGCTCTCAATAATGACGACTTCAGTATGTACACTAAAGAGATTCATCCTGCCGAACTGACTTTCAATAAAGCTAATACTAACAATGAACACTGCCCTTTCCTGGACCTTGATATCTTTATCTTTAAAGGGAAACTTAATACCAAAATTTATGATAAAAGAGATGATTTTTCATTTCCTATTGTTAATTATCCTTTTTTAGATGGTGACGTTCCCTTGTCGCCATCGTATGGTGTTTATATATCTCAACTTGTTCGATTCGCTCGTGTATGTTACAACGTATTTGATTTCAACGAAAGAAATCTCTGTATTACCGAAAAATTATTACACCAGGGTTTTCGATATCACAAACTAGTCAAAACATTTACTAAATTTTATCATCGGTACAAGGACATCGTTCGTAAATATAAATCAACATGCAGACATCTTATACGTTCAGGTATTTCACATCCAATATTTTATGGTAATATTCTTTACAAAGCACAAAATTGTCGGCATTCACCTCAAAAGCTAACCAAACCTTTAAACAGACTTATTCGGAAAGGATATAGTTACGATACTGTTGTCAAGTCATTAAGGATTGCATATTTTGGTATTAATATTGATTCACTCATAGGGTCTTTGCATTGGAAATAAACACATTTATTCTAAAACCAGTTGTTGGCATGATACGGGTTATGTTCTTCTCATATATTTTATGATGGTATGATACTAAACCCCTAACGGGAGGGATTGTACTTGATTTTCATATGATGAAGACCTAATCTTTCAATCAGTTTAATTGAGGTTTGGTGCCGGCATGTCAGTAACTGTTAGTAGTCCTTTGTTCATTTATGTATCATTGTCATTTTGCTTAGTTTCTTTTGTTACCTATTCTGACATCGGACTCGGACTTCTTTTAAACTGAGTTTTACTGTGCGTATTGGTATGTGTTTCTTTTTCTACATTGACTAGAGGTATAGGGGGATGGTTGAGATCTCTGGCCTTTGTTAGTCTTGTATGTTTTTTAATTTTAGTTCATTTATATGTTCTCGCTGCATTGGTGGACTTCGGCTGTTGTCTGCTCTTTGGTCTGGTTGTTGTCTCTTTGACATATTCCCCATTTCCATTTCCATTCTCAATTTTATTTTATAAAAGGCTTTTGACAAACTTCTAGATTAAAACTACAAAACAATCTTTTTACCTTACATCCCCAAAATTAAGGAAAAATAAAAAAATATATAAAAAAATATATATATAAAAAGATATATAAAAAAAATATAAAATTTTTTTTTTTAAATATATAAAAAAAATAAATTTAAACCCTCTATGTCACTGTCGGCCTTCAACAAAGGACAAATAAATTTATAATATATATACAATATAACATGTTTGGAGTAACCCAAATATTAAAAAAAACAGGAACCCAATGTAAATATTTCACTACAATATATATAGTGGTAGTTATCAAAAAGTCATAGCATAAAAGTATTATATTGTCCTCAGAATAATACTTCCACAGTCAAAATGATCAAATGAAGTTTGCCGTTGACTAAACTCCAGAATTGGTATCTTCTGCGTACAGATACAGATACATTTACAATGCGTTTAAAAATACAATCAAAATATGTTATCCGATTGCACACAAGGTCACATTTCATAGTGGTAAGATTAAACGAGTCATTTATTCAACTTATTGAATGACATTTTTTATCGAGTCAAGTGAGTTAAAGCTTGATAAACATCTGTCAACCAATAACAGACAATAGGGGCGGATCCATGATTTTAGGATAGGCAGGCGCAAACTTAAATTTTTGCGGAGCGGAGCGAGGCGCAAAAATTTGTTTGAGGTAAAATTATCGAAATATTCTTTTTAAGCTGTAGGCAAGCCATGCTTGTTTCTTTGTATATAAAATCATAACTACTGAATTGAAAGACGGGACGGACATTACAAATATATTAACCAGATAATCCAAATAAAAAAGGATAAGGAGGACAACAAGCTAAATTTGCATTCTATCTTCAAGACACAGAAACACGTTTAACTTTACCTCCAAATGTCGAAATGAAAAACACACATATTATTTATATATTAATGAGATCATTAACTGTCTATGCTATTTCTAAACACATTATATCAATAGGCAAGGCGAAGACATTAAGCGATGAAAGAAAGAGTTTGATCGAACTTTGGCGTTTAACTTTATCAGAGACATACAGAGAAGCTGCAAGAACAGGTACAGTAACTGTATCTATTGTTTTGTGCATAGGTCATTATATATACCGGTCTGGTATAACCGTTGGTTCTCCTTATCAGAACCTAAATAACTACGGAAAATCTCATTATTCGTATTCAAAATTAAAATAACAATACATGTGCATATATGCTTTGGGTAAGGGAGCTACCATTTGATTTTTATGGAGCTAGGATGAAAACATTTTTCCTGCATTTTTTTAAAGTTGTAATCTCTGTCCTGTCTTTTTATTTTTCACTCTATTCGGTCCTGCCTTTTTTTTATTAGTTTATCCTGACTTTTTTTACATAAATTGTCATCCGGACTTTTTTTTACTCAAAACTCCTGTCCTGCCTTTTTTTCAAATTTCATCCTAGCCCCCCCCCCCCCCCATAAAAATGAAATGGTAGCTCCCTAATAAAAAAAATGGTGTTTGATATATTATACTTGAAAACATTTTAAAAAGCATAATTCTTGTTGATATTATATGCTCTTAGATACACTATACATATTAAAGTGATTCAATATTAAAATAAAAGTTCGTCAAATGCACATTTCAAACCTTATCATTCATCGATGTCAGTCTGGTTTGGGCGTGCTTCATTTCTCTATTCTGTATTTTTCTAACAGTTATTGTAAAGATGAAAACAATATATTCAGGTGTGTTAGATGGTATTTTAATGTGTTTGGTGGTGTTCGGTGGTGAAAAGATCTACCGACAATTATTCTCCGTTCTTTAATATACTTTTTAACCTGTATACTCTATTTTCCCCATAATTATCTTTATTTTTTATTTTTTTTAAACTTTTTTCTATATTCTTTGGCCTATAAATAGTCTTTATTGTGTAACTACCATCAATATCCTAATCAATGATGCTTGAAAACAACTACCGATATAGGATCATTGTACCTTTAGGTGCCAAGGTAAAAAGTCGCATGCACTTTGATATGAAATCAGGTAATTAGTTTTCAAAGGATTTTTAAAACGCAATGTAACTTTTTCTCCATAGGTGATGTTAAGCTAGGAAAAATAAAAGAATTGACCTGGGATGATATTAAGTGTCTAACAAAGAAATATGGAGGATCAGTAGCATTAGGGGCAGGTTCTATAGCTGCAACACCATTAGTGCTTGGTGCTGCTGGGTTCACCGGAAGTGGCATAGCTGCTGGGTCAATGGCAGCTAGAATGATGGCCTGGTCAGCCGCTGCCAATGGTGGAGGTGTGGCCGCTGGTGGAGTTGTTGCCACACTCCAATCTGCCGGGGCCGCTGGACTAAGCCTTGGTACAAAGACTGTCATTGGTACAAGTGTTGGGGGATTGTATAGTCTACTTGTTAAAGGGTGCTCACAAAATGATGTTGAATGTCTAAAGAAACGAGAGAAAAACGTTTGAATATATTGAACTGATTTCTTAATAAACTATGCGTTATGGGCTTTGCTCATTGTTGAAGGCTGTACGGTGACCTATAGTTATTATTTCCCTGTCATTTGGTCTCTTGTGAAGAGTTGTCTCATTGGCGATCATACCACATCTTCTTTTTTATATTTTGTTTGCTTTAAATTGAAGTACCTATTGAAATGTATACACAAAAAAATTGCTGAAAAATAATAAGTATTTTATAAGATTTTTAAAAATGTCTTTTTTAAAACTACATGTTATAAAATTATGAAAAGAAAAGTAGAGGTTAATGGGCAAAATTTTTAATGGCACTCCACATATAAAACCAGAGGATTCCAAATACCAGTAAAAAAAATTAACCTTAATAATTATTAATATAGGTAAGCTGCCAAGTAAAGATTCCAGAGCAACAAAGTTGAAACAATAGGTTCTATCATATATTTTTACAAATTACTTATTGCATTTACTTTCAGCATTAAAATCAATTAATTCATAACTAATCATGATATACTTTGTTTAATCTTTTTTTGGTTATTTTTTTTAAGTTATGTTTTAAAATTATGATTGTAATTATTCTGTTAATTCTATATGCTGTAATTGGCAAATAAAATATCTGTGTGTTTTGATTGTTTTATTTTGTATTTGGCAAACACGAAGATTAGTTAATGATCTTAAAATATTTATAGCTCACTAATATATAGCTTAGTACCAAATACCACAGAGCATTGATTTGTACCATAGTTGCTGAGAAAAATGCTCCAAAATTTTTTTATACCTGCGTGAATGTGAAAAATATAAATGTAACAAACAGGAAGTTGATACTGTGGATTCCGTATCATTCACGGGAAACTAATTTTTGTGGATTTCTTGGGTATAGGTACACCACAAATTTAAATAATAAGCAAAGTAATGGTACATTTCTTCTAAAGGCTTGTATTCAGACCTTGGCAAATCCAAAAAAATTTAAAAAAAACCAAGAAAATACAAGTTTTCCTCAATCCACAAAAATTGTTATCCACGAAAATAATTGAATCCACAGTAAGTGACAGATCTGAGAATGTTTCATATTATACAGCTGAGAGTTCGTGTTGCTCAGTCTTTAGTTTTCTATATTGTGTTTTGTATACTGTTGTTTGTCTTTAGGTTGATTTTCTTCATTCTATGCCATGGCATTGTCAGTTATTCTTTGTATTATGAGATTGAATGTCTCTTTAGTATCTTTCTATTCCCTTTTACCAATATCAAGGATTTGTATTGTGAGATGACCAAGAGATAAAATGCAGTCATTTTAGATTCAGATAATGTGTATTGTAACGATATAAACTGTTTTTTGAATCAGAGCTGTCATAAACTTACACTTTAAAGTTTCACATCATATAATATTGTTGTTTTTTATGCTTACAAAATGCTGAGTTAAACAACTTCAACTTGTAATGGTGGACGCATAACGATAAACGAGATGCATCACGGTAAATCTCGCAAAATCTTAGCATACATAGCATATTTCAATACAGGCTAGGTAAACTGTCGACAAGACTCCAATTCTTCTCACTATACAAATCCTTGCCAATGATAATTGATATAATTATAATAAATGATATTCTTCAAATATAAAAAGCCTGGTGGAAAATAACATAAGAATGTGTCTGAGGACACAAATGTCCCAGCTCAAGCTTTGCAATTTTTGCAAGTTAAAAAGGGGCACAACTCCAGAACGGTAAGTGACTAACTGCCCAAATTCCAACTCTGTCTGCCTGTTGTGTTTCTTAGTGTTGTGTATGAGTTTCATAAAATTTAGATGAGACAAACTTAAGTCAGAGTGGGGAAACTGAAAAATTTGCAATTTTCCAAGTTAAGAAGAGGCATCACTCTAGAACGGTAAATGACTCACTGTCCAAATTCAAACTCTGTCTGCGAATTTTGGTTCTTAGCATTGTGTATGAGTTTCATAATATTTGGATGAGGAAGTCGCACGGACAGAAGGACGGTCAAGTATAACATTTAATGCCCCCCATTACCTACAGCGTGGGCATAATAAGATTTATTTTGGCAAATAAAACAAAATATACTTCTTTGTTTTAATAGCTTAATTTATTTTTAGCTTTGGAATAGAATAAGTCCCATGATTTTTAAGACATACAAACACTTATATTAAAACGGTACAAATTTCACAAGAATAATTTATGTATTAGCTCCTTATACTTATACACACAAGCAAGACATAACAATCACATGATCAACATTTTGGTCACATGACAAGAAAAATGATCACATGATAGTCATATGACCAAATCTTTCTCACACAAATAAATAACTATCTTTACATTTGTTTTTGTTCCAAATTCATTTTAATATCATTTTCTATTGTGACAACTTGTGACTAACAGAAAAAAAGGAATTTCTTTAAAAGCGGACGATAATTTAATTATTTCTTTGGATTATTGAAAAATTAATGAGAAGTTGACACTTGATTGGGTGGTTCATGATTTTTGAAAATCAATTCAAACGAAATAAGCATGGTGCTTGGTTTAAATAACCTGAAATCTATGTAAAGTGGTGTTATACAACCGAGTTTCTTTTAAATCGAAATGCATATCTATAAAAACTGGTACCCGACTTACTAATACTTCAATATGTTTTTTGTCAAATTAAAACCATTTTTTTCATTTTTAAGCCATTGGATAACCAGGATACTGCATCTATTTTCTTGGTCAAAACCACTTAAAATCAGTATCTTGAAACAGTCTCTATAAATTATTAAACAATATAAGAATAATGTATAAAAAATATTGCACACTAATTTTTATCATGCTCATATTCACATATGCACATTTGAATACACAAATCGCTTACACTCACCACACATACATTGTACACAAATAAGAAATGATTATGTACAAAAAATATTACACAGCACTTTTAAAAAGAATAGCTTTGCTACACATCAATGTTTACTTTATACAAGTATTTACTGAAATATTTACTTACATACATTAATACATTTGTAAAAACCAAGAAACACAATGACATAAATTTGGGGACAAAATATTTTAGAACAGTAGTCGCTGGTTAACATGTTTTTTAATACCTCAATAATTTTAACAATTTCTTATCTGATATAAAAAGTAAATGGTACATTTCGGTTTCAAAATTTGAATAAATATGAAAATAACTTTATAAATTTTGTATGTCCAAAATGCTTTTCTTGATTCAATACCTTCATCACGAAAGCTCACACAAAATTTTGAAACCCAAGGTTGTATAAATACTAGAATCTTTGAAGAGTTATAGGAACAAAGTGAATATAAAAAAGCTCAGTTGAGTATTAAGTAAAATGTTACTGCTGAGAAACGGGAAATTGATAATTGGGAAGTTGAAATCGTCCCGTTTGTCATAGATTTTAGTGTGAAGTCGTACATCTGTGTCAATTTTGAGGAAAGAATCAAGGTATGATGCAGTCCTTTTAGTATCAGTACTATCCTTAATTTCAAGTTCACTGGGATATATGAGATGTAAGTACTGATTGCAATATGGGTTATTAAGTGATAGGACATCATCAATATATCTGAAAGTAAAATTAAATAATTTCGCAAGGTGCTTTTTCTTTTTGTCTTTTAGAAGGTTCTGAATGAATTCTGGTGCATACGAGTACAAAAACAAATCGGGCAGTAGGGTTGCACAATTAGTACCCATTGGAATACCGACTGTCTGTTGAAATATCAATCCTCCAAACTCAACAAATATATTGTCGATCAAAAAGTCCAGCATTTTGATAATATCATCTTCAATATATTTTCTGATAAAATCAGTGTGGTTATTCACAAAATAAGAATTATTATAACCCAAAACAAGAAATTTATCTATGATTCCCATTTTTATAGAAAAAGCTCTGTTAAATGAGATGGTGAAGTCGATCTTTCAATTGAGAATGGGAAATACTAGTGTAAAGCGTAGAAAAATCTAAAGTTTTAATGTTGCTGCAAAATTGCAGAGATTGTGATCTAAGATTTAGCAGTAGATCTTAAGAATTTGTAAGAATCCACATCTGATTGACACCACTGGTTTAATATATCACATCACTAACAAAAGTAAATAATTATAGGTCAAAGTACGGCCTTCAACACGGAGTCTTGGCTCACACCGAACAACACGCTATAAAGGGCCCCAAAATGACTAGTGTAAAACAATTCAAGCAGGAAAACCAACGGTCTATTCTATATAAAAAAACGAGAAACGAGAAACACTTATGAACCACACCAACAAACGACAACCACTGAACAACAGGCTCCTGACTTAGGACAAGTGCAACAAATGCAGCGAGTTTAAACGTTTTAACAGGCGTCAACCTTGACCCTAACCTTGAAACAGTAGAGTAACATTACAACATAGAAAGACACACTATAAAATATCAGTTGAAATGGCTTAACTCGATCAAAGAGACATTTCAACAAAAACAAGTAATAAAATTGAGAATGGAAATGGGGAATATGTCAAAGAGACAACAACCCGGCCATAGAGCAGATAACAGCCGAAGGCCACCAATGGGTCTTCAACGCAGCGAGAAAATCCCGCACCCGGAGGTGGTCCTCAGCTGGCCCCTAACTAAAAATGTGTACTATTTCAGTGAAAATGGACGTCTTACTAAACTCCAAAACATAAACATACACTGAACTAATAAATTTGATCTATGAAACAATATAAATACAATATTAATAAATGTGAATGTTACATTTTAGGAAAACTTTTATCGGAAAAGAATTGATTGGTGTTCACAGTCACTTTCAACAATATTGTACTATTTTGTGGCTGTCAGTTCTTATTGGTGGAGGAAACCGGAGTTCCCGGAGAGACTACCAACCTTCAGCAGGAAAACTGACAATCCACGTCAATTAAAATTGGAGTCGAATGCACCTACCATGTGCGGGATTCGAACTCACAACCTCAGTGTTGACAGGCTATAGTGATACAATAGTTCAACTACTTAGAACACTCGACCATAGAGGCCCCAGTTGCCTTTTGTGATTTTTATCTGTGGGTTATTTCTTTAACATATGCCCCACATGTTCACATATCGTTTCATATTCATACCTATCCCAAGATTTTACACACTTGAACGGGGTTTATTTTTAGATCAAATTTTTAGAAATGCAAATGTAAAAGTTCTTATTAACGACTATTTATATCTTAAATATGTCACGCACTATCTCAAGTATTTACGAATACATATTTAATAAATGCGAAATAGGCAAGCGTTTTGAAAACTAAATGTTTGCCTGCTTTTGTATTTTTATTTTCGATTTTATTTTTTTAAATCAATGTGCTACAGTTATTTCCCTTTCTTTTTATATATAATTATTTGAAACATGCACCATTATCCCACTATATAAAAGTAAATACAATAAACATTATAATTCAGGGTAAAACCGACGAAACAGTATACATCGATATAAAAATATTATCTTCCATGTAAGTTCAATTATCAAAAATTAGCTTAATGTGAAATCGAAATATTATTATTTTTGATAGTTTTAAATCAAGTATTTTGCAATTTTGTGGCGGTCAGATCTTATTGGCGGAGGAAGCTGGAGTGCCCAGAGAGAACCACAAACCTTCAGTAGGAAAACTGACAATCCTAGTCAATTAAAATTGGAGTCGAATGCACCTACCATGTGCGGCTTTCGAACTAATAACCTCAGTGTTAACAGGCTAGTGATAAAGTAGTTTGACTACCGTAGTAGTTTTCGGCTACCGAGACACAAGATGCCTTTTTGTTATTTTTACCTGAGGATTGCTTCTTTAACATATGCCCCACATATCTTAATATCGTTTCATATTTATACCTATCACAAGATTTTACACACTTGAACGGGGTTTATTTTTAGATCAAATTTTTAGAAACGCAAAAAGTAAAAATTTTTATATCTAATATATCTCACGCACTTTCTCAAAGTATTTCCGAAAACATATCTAATAAATGCGAAATAGGCAAGCGTTTTGAAAACTAAATGTTTGTCTGCTATTGTATTTTCGTTTTCGATTTGATTTTTTTAAATCAATGTGCTACAGTTATTTCCCATTCTTTTTATATATAAACATTTGTCACGTGCACCATTATCCCACTACATAAAAGTTGTAAAAACAATAATCATTGTGATTCAGGATAAAACCGAGGAAACAGTATACATCGATACAAATATATTATCTTCCATGTAAGTTAAATTATCAAAAAATACATTAATGTGAAATCGTAATATTATCATTTTTGATAGTTTTAAATCAAGTATCTTTCATACTTTTAGATCATAATTCTATAATGTTTAATTTTCGGTTTAACTGTAGTTGATCGATACTTATACATATGACATTAAAATTATTTGTAATACGGTATCTCTGGAAGAGCAAGAATTGCCTGTCTTGCTTAAAGACGCAGATTATTTGACGCCTAATAGTTTTTAACTCTGCAGCAACTTATATAAAAAAACTTCAAGACAGATATAGCTTTAAATATCCCGAACAACGTAATCATTACATTAAAAATTGGTGGAAAACATGCGATGACTGAACAAATGGACCAACAATTGATACCATAATCTTCCTAATAATGTGAATTGATAAAAAAAATTATTACAAAACATAAATCCAAATTAGTGATAACCAATTTGGTTTGTTGACAAGAAAAGTATAGATTACTTCTCCTGAATCCCCTAAATGTTCATGCTTACCTTAACATACATTGTCTGTACATTTTTTGTTAAGCACTGTGTATGCCCAGACATTTTTCTATATCATAAAAATGTCTACAGTCTTAGTTTCCCCCTTTCGTTTTTTCGGTTGGTTTTTTTCCAAAGTTTAAGATTACTATGCAGTATTTTTCTGAATGTTTGCTTGTGTTTATGTATTTAGTTTATAATGTGTCTCGGCTTTTCTGGTTTTTTTTTTATTGTCCACTTTTTGTCTCATAATATTAGTATACATTTTTGTAAATGTTATATTTCAGTATTGTATATACAACGACCATTGTATATTAAAACAACAATGGAACGAAGATATTTTACAGTCTATGTATTGTTTGTTCTTTTGATTACGTCTGTTCAAGGTAATAGATATGTTAAAATTTATTTTCTATTGTAAATTATCTTTTATTTATTAGCAAAAAAGTATAACAAAAATACCGAACTCCAAGATAAATAAAAGACAATGGCGGGTAAACCTGGTTTTATAGCTTGCTAAACCTCCCACTTGTATGACAGTTTTTTATAGTTCCGTTATATCGACAAAATTGGGTAAGCAACCCAAATAGACATAATAGGTTAATGTGATATAATAGATTAAAGGCTCCAGTTTTATCAATCTATAATTTTGTAATAAGAACATAAACGCTTTCTACAATAAAAAATAATTCCATTGAATTTTAAAAATCAAACGTTATTTGATGAACAAGAAAGATGATGTGGGATATATAGCAACCTAACGACAAAAACATACTCCAACATAAACCAAAAGAAACTTTATGTTCATTTTGCCCCATTCCTACAGTAAGTCAATTATATACTCTTTTTTTTTAATTTTATAACTTATAGGATATCCCAACTGTTATCATAAAGATATGCCTTTTTAGATATATACACTATTTGGTTTTTTTTCAGTAATTATTTAAAAAAATGATTTACTCACGACTGATGTTTCATAACTGATAAAGTAAAATGTGTTCTTTGAAGCGGGTGTTATTAAACAGGATTATACAATTTCGTACTCAAGTAAAAATTTGAACCTTATTAAATATGGATTTTTTTCTTTGGTGTTGATGATTACAGTGTCTGATGTACATCTGTTTCACAAAATAAGAAATTTAATCCTTTCAGGTATATAGTATTACAGCAAATAGATATTGATCTACAATAAAATTACAAAACAACATCATAAAAAAGGATCAATACCCAGCCTACAAAGACTTACGAGACACTGTATTTACAAATAAAAGCTATAACAGTTATACTAAAGGAGATTTTTTTTTTTACAAAAAAGCATAGTCATGTATTACATGATTTAAAACTCATTAAATATGTACATAAAATTATAAAATATATATTCATGAACGCTTCAAAATAATAATGTAGAACTTACTAATATAAATTAACAATGAAAACAAAAGAATTATAGTTATACAGTTTAGTTCGCTTAAAAACGCCACTAGGGTAAAGGTTACTTAAAAATTCAGTAAAAATACAGCAACAAATAATTTCAGTAAAAATTCAGTTAAAGTTCAGTAAAAATTCAGTTAGAGTTCAGTAAAAATTCAGTAAAAACTTCAGTTAATTTAACGTTTAATTCAAAAGAGAGTCGTTAACTGAAGATTTACATAGTGAAAAAAACAAAAAGGAAATCTAAATCAATACAATAAGTTTAAGCAATATTATATAAACTGTTTACGTCTCATAAAACATTTATGGAGTGTATTAGCCAAAAGTGGTTGGATTTCATCACATTTCATTAAAGATGTAAATTTGTGTGCAGTTGTCAACATTTCAAAATTGTCAATCAACTGTTTAGCATTTTGAAAAAGTTAAAATCTAATGTCAGAATAGAGCGGACAGTTCATCATGAAGTGTATTTTATTTTCTACTGTTGAATTGTCACATAGTTTACATAATCGTTAATTCAAATGTATCTGCGGTCTAGAGTATCGTCCTGTCTCAATAGCCAATGGCAACGCCCCACTTCTAAAAAGTGTCATTGTTCGTCTTACGGAACGTGGGATGTTACGCTGTATATATTGTTCTGTTTTAACGTTTTCTTTGTATAAGCGATAAGTTCGTAGTTTGTTTCTGTTTGGTTGACCTCTGTCATTAAAAAGTTCAGATAAAAATTCATCATTATCTAGAATTGTCAGTTTGTCTTTAATTACTGTGGATTCATTTATTTTCGTGGATACCAATATTCGTGGATTAAGGAAAACGTGCATGTTCGTGGATATTTAATTTCGTGGTTTTAACGAAGTCTGCATACAAGCCTATAGGAAATTTGTTATTCGTTGAACATTTATTTTCGTGGTTCACTTGTACCCACGAAATCCACGAAAATTAGTATCCAACGAATAATAATGAATCCACAGTAGATGTACTGCTGTTTTTAGTTATATTTGAGTGTTATTGACTAAATCTGCACACTCAATCGAGTTTATAAAACTGGTCACTAGCTTGTGCCATTCTTTCCGACGTCTTGATGCCCAGTCCGACACCGTTGAAATAAGTCTGTCATCGTCTGTGCGTTTCAGCCTACATAATAGACGGATGCATGACAGTTTTTGTTTATTGAAACACGTAATCAGTCCCAAATCGCCACGTACTGCGGAGTTTGGTGTTCGTTTTCCTACAGCTAGAAATAATTTGCATGCTTTGTTTTGGACGCTGTTAATCACACCATATTGTTTTGTTCCCCATATACCACTTCCATAGAATAGGATAGGCTCAACTGTTGATTCATACAGCTTGAAGAAAACACGATGAGTCATACCTCCACTACTTATAAATTTTCCGTATAGGGCGCCTAGTGCACGACTAGCCGACTTGGCCAATTCTCCAACAGTTTTTTGCATGTTCAAATGTTCATCCAACCAAAGGCAGAGGTACTTATATGAATCAGCATATCCGATGTTGGTATTAGAGCACGTAAATAAATATTTACTACGGATAATTGATGGGTTTCTAAAATGGACAACCTGCGTTTTGCCAACATTAATATGAAGTTTCCATTCATTACACCAAGATGTTACCACGTCCAACATTCGTTGTAGTTTTTATTCGTCAGGTGCAATAAGCGCAATGTCATCTGCATATAGCAAAATACTCATGATAATGTCATCTATTTTTATACCACACTGTAGATCGTTAATTCGTTGGGTTAAGTCATTTATATAGACGGCAAAAAGGCTCGGAGAAATCAAACAGCCTTGTTTAAGTCCGGCGTCAACACTAAACCATGGAGTGAACTGATCATTTACTCTAACTGTACAGGATACGTTGTCATATAGCGAGGATGAAGCTGACATAAATTTTCCTCGTATACCTGCATTAGAAAGTTTATACCAAAGTAGGTTTCTTTGAACCGTATCGAATGCCTTACGCATGTCCACAAAGCAAACGAAAGTTGAAAGTCTCGCTATTTTACGGTCATTGATAATGGTGTGTAATGTGTAGATATGTTCCTCAAAGCTACGTTTTTCCAGGAACCCGTTCTGTTTGTCGCAGAGAATATCATTAACATATTGCCATGATGAGAGTCTTGCATTTAAAACATAACAGTAAGTTTTACTCGGAACAGAAATAAGTGTTATTCCTCGGTAATTCAGAGGGTTGTTTCTCGTGTCTGATCCACTTTTGAAAATCGGATTAATTATTCCCTTTGTCCATTGATCCGGTAAGTTCAAAGCACCCATTGCATATTAAGTGCAAAAGATCTATTGCTGTTGGGTTTTTCAGAACTTCAGCAGGAATTTCATCAGAACTAGTAGCCTTACGAAGCTTTGCTCGTGCTACTGCAACAAGAATTTCATCGCGTGAAATTGGTTCGTTCAGCTCTGTGACATCTGGTTGATTTTTTTCTGGTTTCGTTGTCATAAGCTGGAGGTCTGACATTTGGATTAACACTAAATAATTGTTCAATAAGCACCAATTGTGTTCACAATGGTCAGTGAAAATTTGTTATTAAAACATTGTCGAATGCCCAAGAGGAAAATCAACGACCCTAGTGTTTCACTACAGAAAATAAACTGGTTTTTTGACGAAATCCAGTTTGTTGTCTTTCTACTTACGACTATTCAAAACGAATTATTATAAATACCGAACTCTAAGGTAAATTCAAAAGTGGTAGTTCATAAACCTGACAAAATCAAACGCTTGACCAACGAAAAGCATGGAAAACACTTGTTGTACATGACTTGCTACAGGTATTTTCTGAAGAAAATGTTTTATCAAATCTGGTTTGATAGCTAGCTAAACCTCCCACGTGTATGACATGTGTTTATCATTTGTTTTGCATGTATTCAATTTTATATTCAAACGTCAATAATCAGCTTCAATCGATTTCAGATTTAACGGATTAATAAAAAAAAATTTACGTTTGAAAATTAGACTTCTTTTATTTGAAATGGGTTAGGGCTCATTGTTAAAACATGCCTACCTTTGGAACGAGTGCAGTGAAATGAAAAACCAAACACACTGTCATATAACTTTTATTGGTGTTTTTAAACGCTATGTAAATTTATCTACATAGGCGAAGCTGAGCAGGCAAGGCAGAATGAATGGACTTGGGGTGATGTTTGGAGTGTAAAATATCAAATTGGAGGAGGCGTGGTATTAGGGGCTCTTGCATTGGTTGCAGCCCCTGTACTTGCTGTTGGGGCCATATCGGCTACTTTTAAATGTTATGTTAAAGGATCATGTGCTGGTGAAAAAGATGTCATCAGGGCCACTTTTGATGAGGTGTACAGCACTGTTTTTGGAAATAAAGAAAAACAAAATTGACACCCAATGAAATGTTTAGAGATTATTACTTTGCATTTTCCATATCGGACTAAGGGATTTAGCACTAGTGTTTAATGTAAACAAGGAATTAAAATAAACATATTTCAAAGATTGTGTCATTGTGTTCATTTTTTATGCTTCTGGATACAATAAGTATGATTACATGAATCAAATTGAATTAAGTGTCCAATTTGCAATTCAAAACCATGTTTCTCATCAGTGGAAAAAGTATCAATTAAAAGCGTAAAAAGAGAAGAGGGAGAAAATCGAAGCAGCCACCTCAGTGCAGTGAGATACGAGAAATAGCCCTTCATGCAAGAAACAGATCACAAACATTAGCGAATAAATGTTAAGCGTCGCAAATTAAACTCATTTTGCAACAGTTAATTCGCCGATGGACGTGAGCAAACTTCCAAAACAATAAAGTTATATCTTAAATTTGATGAATAAAATTTCAAATGCATCGACCATTTTACTCTTGTTTTGTGACGTTAATAAAAAACTGGAAATTGAAACTAAATTATAAATAAATAACGAATGGATCAAGATTCACGATACTATATTTCTGACTCTGGTTAGGGTGGGTGTTGGCGCCAGCAAACATGTTTAACCCCGCCACGTTACGTATTTGCCTGTCCAAAGTCAGGAGCCTGTAATTTTGTGGTTGTCGTTTGTTGTTGTTTATCATATTTGATTTTTTGTTTATTGTTTTGTAGATAAAGCAAGTCGTCAGTTTTCTCGATTGAAATGTTTAACATTAGTAATTTCGGGACCTTTTATAGCTGACTATGCGGTATGGGTTTTTTTTCATTGTTGAAGGCCGTACGGTGACCGATAGTTGTTACCTTCTATGTAATTTGTTCTCTGTTGCAGAGTTGTCTCATTGGCAATCATACCACATATTCTTATTTTTATATTTCAAATGTTTTGGTTTTGAGCAATTCTAATAAACTTAAATCTTTCAAAAAAAATTGGACGCACGAAATCATTAAGTATTATTTTCATTAATTGCACGGAGTCGATGAAATTGCGAATGAACTGTTAGTCCCCGCGGGTTTCCTCAGCTGAGTAGTCAGTGTGTTTTGTTTTTTGTTTTTTTTTGTATTGACATGATTTATAACATATTTTTCTTATCTTAAATTATCCGTTGATAAATTATCAAATTATTTAAAACAAAAGTCCCAACCCGTCTGACAACGTTGACCTTATATGAATGTGTCTAGTCTTTGTGCCTGCTCCTTTTTGACCAAACATCTCCTCACGTTTTCGTGTCATATAATCCTTTGCTTCAAATATTTGGGTTTGGTGCATTACCGATGAAGGTTAATCAAGAAAGCGCCTCGGACGCACGACATTTTATAAGCGTTATTTTCACGTGAAAAAGTTGCGTGACTTTCATACCAGCCAGCATTTTAGGTGAAATTTGTGTGAAATATAGAACTAGAATCTAACGTAGAAATTCGATTAAAATAAATTTATAAATTTTATTTCCCTCATATACAATTCATGTTAATCACGAATAATTAACGTGAATAAAAATTGCATCTGAACAGATTGTTGAAAGATTGCACAAAAAATATAATAATACTGTATTGTTTTTATGAACCATGTGGAGGCAAACTTGGTTGATATCTGCCGATTACAGGCAGTGGAACTCGTTTAATCGTTGAATCCATTCAGACTGCTCATTTCAGGGGCGGAATTAGCCATTTGTAAAAAGGGGAGGGGGTTTCCAACCCAGGAGAAAAGGGGGTTTCCAAATATATGTCCCCGTTCAAATGCATTGATAGTCAAAAAAGGGGGGTTCCAACCCACGGAATCCGCCCCCCTGGATCCGCCACTGCATTTGAGAGAAAAAACTGTGTACACAATTTTTTTTGAGACATTTTTGTTACTTTGCAACTCTTTGACATGCATTCAATTCAATATTCAAAGATCAATAAACAGCTTCAAACGTTTAAAAAAAATTACGGATTGATACTCCATCAGTAATGTTCTAAAATTCGAGTAAACTTTTTCAAACCTGTTTCGGGGCCTCAGTGGCCGAGTTGTCTAAGTAGTCGAACTACTGTATCAGTAGCATGTCAAAACTGAGGTTTTAAGTTCGAATCCATCACGTGGCAGTTGGGTTCGACTCCAATCTTTATTGACTAGGATTGTCAGTTTTCCTACCGAAGGTCGATGGTTCTCTCCGGGCACTACGGCTTCCTCCACGAAATAGCACAATAGTACTGAAAGTGGCGATAAATACCAACCAATCAATCAATTAATCAATCAAACTTGTTTAGACCTCAGTGTGAACGCAGCCTTACATTAGGAAACATCACTTATTTTATGTAATAAGATCATTAACTTTAATTAAAATTTTTAAACGCTATGTTAATTTATATTCATAGGCAAAACTGACCAACAAAGTAAAAAGGGATGGACCTGGGGTGATGTTTGGTGTGTAACAAAGACATATGGAGGAGCAGTAGTAATAGGGACAGGTGCAGTAGTTGCAGTACCAGTTGTACTTGGTGCAATTGGCTTTACCCCGGCTGGTATAGTAGCTGGATCATGGGCAGCTAAAGCGATGTCAATGTCGGCCACTGCCAATGGTGGAGCCATAGCTTCTGGTGGAGCTGTTGCCTCCCTCCAATCTGCAGCAGCTTCTGGACTAAGTGCTGCTGCAAAGTCTACCATTGGTACCACGGTTGGTGGGGCGTATAGATATGTGGTAGGCAGCTGTTCAAAAAATGACATTGACTGTAAAAAGAAATAGAAATGACGTCCAATGTTTAAAAAATATATTTTTTTTTAATGAAACAACTTTTTAAAATGTAAAAAATAATAATAAGTAATTTTGTTATGGTTCCGAGAAACTGTACGAATATATATCACTACACATTTCAGTTGATTTAATGTTTTTAAACAAATAACCATTCGATGTATATATCCAGCCAAGTCCTGTTTAAACCGTGGTTAAATCCCTGATTTGTCCGTTAAAACCCGGATTTATTATCCGAAAATCAAGTGGAGATAATTTCAGAGAAAGCCGTCAACAGATGTCGCTGAGCAGACGCCAATATGAGATTTGCTGTCCGGCTGATCGGTATCACTAATTTTTAGAATTATATATTCTGTCGTTAATAGTCTTGGATGATCCTCGAAAATTGCTTATAGGTTATTCAATGATAAATTCAATTGATATACCTTAGTTTTGTGATGAGTGGTTAATTGTTCATTCCCTGATTTTATCAGTTTTTATAGTAGACATTGTATCCTTCAACCAAATAAAATTAGCCTTTCATTCAAAGCTTTACTTTATATTTACGTCGTATGTAGAACTAATTCAACTAAGACAATATTTTTGTCGGAATTGATATTTTTATACGTTCTTTAATTTGATTTTCCACTGATTAAGATATAAAAAGAGGCCAATTGTTTCTTACCGCAAATTGATTACAATTTTTTTTTAAGTTTTGCATCAAAATTACTCATAGTCCATTAGATTCAAAATAACATTAACGGTACAAATGTTACTCTACCTGATTTGCATTTTAACAATTAATAAAATTGTGAATGGAAATGGGGAATGTGTCAAAGAGACAACAACCCGACCAAAGAGCAGAAAACAGCCCAATGCCACCAATGGGTCTTCAACACAGCGAGAAAATCCGGCACCCGGAGGCGAGCTTCAGCTGGCCCCTAAACAAAAATGTGTACTAGTTCAATGAAAATGGACGTCACACAAAACTCCAAAACATATAAATGAACTAAAATTAAAAAACATACAAGACTAACAAAGGCCAGAGGCTCCTGACTTGGGACAGGCGCAAAAATGCGGCGGGGTTAAACATGTTTTGTGAGATCTCAACCCACCCCCTATACCTCTAGCCAATGTAGAATAAACAAACACACAGTAATACGCACAGTAAAACTAAGTTTAATGTCTCTTCAGTAATGCTCGAAGCAAAAATATTAGAAAATCCAAAAACTCATACAAATTTTGAAGAGCTGATAGAAGTTTAAAGGACTAAAATATTAAGCTGAAACCAAGACAATGAATCAGAGACATCAGAAACAGTACATAAAATCTTCATAGATACAAGGAAAAACGTTGTGTACGCCAGACGAGCGTTGCGTCTACAAAAGACTTATCAGTGATGCTCGAATCAAAAAGGCAAACAGGTTAAAAAGTTTAAATAAAGTACGCAGTTGACCGACCAATTGGTCAACAGTTTAATCCATACAAGAAAATCTAACGATCAAAGTTGATTAGATCATTACATGAAATGACGATGTTATAAACGTGTACTCTGTTGTTAAGTTTCTCAATAGTGACTTGTCATGAGGGTTCGGATTGGATTTTTTTATTTGTGAATTCCTTATCATTTTAAAAGCATTTAATTCTTTACATTCTGTATGTGTTGTTTATTCTTCTCTATTCTATTTTTTCTATTATTCTCTATTTTGTTAACCCCAAACAAACCCTCAGTTATGGGCCATATTGGGCATATTTCAAGGAGTAGGACAAACATAGGGTATTATATCATTTTATCTAGGTATATACAAATATATATCTTCATTGTAAGTATATCAAATTCGTGAAATATATTTCTGTATTCGTTAATATTTTATGTAATATTCTTTATTTTGCTTACCATTATTCTTTATATTTCAGCACCCCATTACTCTCTATTCTTTATTCAGCAGCCCATTATTCTCTATTCTCTATATTTCAACACCCCATTACTCTCTATATTTTATATTTCAGCACCCCATTATTCTCTATATGTTATATTTCAGCACCCAATTATTCTCTATTCTTTCTTCAGCAGCCTATTATTCTCTATTCTTTATATTTCAACACTCCATTATTCTCTATTTTTTATATTCTAGCTCCCCATTATTCTCTATTCTTTATTCAGCAGCCCATTATTCTCTATTCTTTATATTTCAACACCCCATTATTCTCTATTCTTTATATTTCAACACCCCATTATTCTCTATTCTATATATATTTACACCCCATTATTCTCATTTTTTTTTTATATTTTAGCACCCCATTATTCTCTATACTTTATTTTCTAGGGACTGTTGTTCTCTGTTCCTTACTTTTTGATCCAGTTTTCTGTAGGTCTTATCCAACTATTATCTATTCTACAACCCCATCCAGACCCTCGCATATCGGTAATTTCCAATCTATGGATATTTTTAATTTCATTATAACATAAACATTATCAAACAGCATATAAAATTAAACTCATTATCTGATATATAATTAGATATAAAGACAAATTTTAAATGCAACATGTCTCCTTTTTCGGAACAAACTCCTTTCTTCTGGTATGTAAAGCTATGAAGCTCAAATCTAGCTGATTTGGTAGAGGTAGGCAACAACAAAAAAGAGTTAAATGATACTTAAGTGTTGTAAAGCTAGTTTGCACGCAAAGTCCAGTGGTCAATATTACAAGGTTGGTGCAGATGATGCAACATTATGATCTTAATATTTTCTATAAAATTTATCGTATATTTCATCTTAAATCATCAAGTTTTAATATTGTATGTAGTTAGTGGACCAAAAAGTTATTATGTCCTTCTCTCGCTGTGGTAGTCAATCCAAAGGTAACTTCTATATGATTTGGAAAATGCCGGTCTGACATGAATGTTTCATTCAACTAATATGTCTTGTAAGGTGATAGTATTCCCCCTTTTTGGACAATGGTCAATCGTTCTACGTATCATTTTGCGGTCGAGATAGCACATATGCTTTTATTTGTTACTCGATATCGCACAGATAATTTATGTTCGCCTCTTGCCAGGACATGTCTTTAATTTTTGATAACGAGCCCATTATATCAATATAAACAATATTTTATTGAGAAAAAAAATAAATAAGAACGTACAGCAATACAATTCAAGGATTGGAAAACAAGTGACAATTCACTTAAACAAAACATTTGTTTCCAAAACACACACACACACGTAATATTGGAGTGTAATGAATGAAACGAAAGAGGGCTTCTTACACTATGCGCTGGTGCATGTAAGGTTATTTCTAACCCTATAAATTCCAGGTCATATCCAGTTCATTGAGATCGACAATATCAACAAATACATGTAGATGAGAACATATTTTTTTATGAAAATTCCCGATATATATATACTGTATGTGTGTCACATGCAAAATGTACGTCATAGTGTTGTATAATACGAGACAACGGAGGTAAACAAACGCATAAATTATAAAAAAAGACTAACACTGAACGAATAGCTTACACAGATACAAGATATAATTTTTCATATATGTGCAATGTATTATTTCAAATTGAACCGTGAAATAACCAGCTTGATTATTAGTGTTGATCTATAATAAACGACAGTCTTAAAAACAACAGAAGACGGGTTTTTTAACACTTATAGACTCTGGATAATAATGAACCAACTAGTAAATTGGATGACTGATACAATATGTCGGTGTCTCAACTTACTGGCAACTTTTTTTGCGGATCTTTAAATACTAGTAAAATCTTTAAACCGATTGTGACATTTTGACTACGTTTGCATGGCGGGTGATGCATACATAGCAGGAGACGCTTATCCTGTTGACACATCCTGTACCACTCTTTTTGGAGTTCTTGCGAATACCGTCGGATACTGTTATTACCTTGATTTGTCTCTTCCCAACCAATTTACGAGATTGGAACATCAAAAAACTACTATCACAATAATTTGATCGACATATGCTCTATCCATGATTTTCTGTTGTTGGTGTTTGATCGACAGATATTCTATTCATGATTTTTCTTTTGTCCGAGTTTGATCGACAGATGTTCTACAGCTCTACCAGATAACGACAGATATGTTCCAATTGTCATTACCACAATCCCGTTTTAGTTTTCTGAATGTGACCGACCGAATTAGTCTTTTCCCATGGTTTGCACTTACATAAACAACACGACGGGTGTCACATGTGGGGCAGGATCTTCCAGAGCATCTGCATTCACCACAGGTATTTGGTTGGGTTCGTGTTGTTCAGTTTTAAATTTTTCTATGTTATGTTTTGTATACTGTTGTTTGTCTTTTGATTTCTATCTATCAGTTGATTTATCTGTTTATTCTTAAGCCTCTCTTTGACAAAATAATGTATAATAAAGGCAACAGTAGTATACCGCTGTTCGAAACTCATAAATAGATAGAGATAAAAACAAATCCGGGTTACAAACTAAAACTGAGGGAAACGCATCAAATATAAGAGGAGAACAACGACACAACAAAAACACAACATTAAAATGTAACACACACAGAAACGAACTATAATATAACAATGGCCATTTTCCTGACTTGGTACAGGACATTTTAAGAAAAAAATGGTGGGTTGAACCTGGTTTCGTGGCATGCCAAACCTCCCGCTTTAATGGCAACGTCAAACACAACACCAAAACGACAACATAACATGACAGGACTACAATACAAATAAATGGGAGAACATTTAAGACAAAAAACACACGAATAATAGCTAACAAAAGGTACTAGGCTTAAAATTCAATACGCCAGACGTGCGTCTCGTCCACACAAGACCATCCAGTGACGCTCAGATGAAACAAGCTTGAAAGCCAAAACAAGTACAAAGCAGAAGAGCACCGAGGACCAAAACTTCGAAAATGTTGCGCCCAACACGGCCAGGGTTTTCTGCCTGGGACAAGAACATCCTTATTATTTAGAATAATCTATGATTTTGCAAACAGTAAATTTTATAAAATGACTATATAATAGATATACATGATAAAACCGAAGTGGGGACTAACTACAGGATAAAAACGGATACATTACATAAAACAACTTAATCCAACATATAAAAATACACAGTCGAGTTAGCCAAAGCATCAACGCACAAAGTGACGTCACA